CCCAACACCCCCGCCAGGTGTGATCAAGCTCCCGAGGTACTTAAAGCTCTCAACTACTTCCAGCTGATCACCACAGGGGGTGGGTGCAGGCACAGGCTCTTGCCAGTCTTGAACAAGCAATTTGCACTTTGATGGCTCAAAGCGCATACCATACCTGGATACCTCTATTGCCGGGTCACCCAGCAAGGCGATGTCATCGGCATATTCCAAGTCAAGAACTCTGTTCCCTGGGAAGAGTTCAACTCCACCGTTTGCTAGACCAGACAAAGCATTTTGTAGAACATCCTCTATGGCGAAGTTGAAAAGAAATGGGGATGTAGGGCAGTCTTGCCGAACTCCACTGGAGACGGTGAAGGGAGGCAAAGAGTGGCGAAAGTTGGCCATAGGCCCTAACACGACTTGAGGTATGACGATACAACTCTTTGAGGATCGACACACTTTTCAGGTACCCCATTTCTCAACAAACAGCTCCATAGTGCGGTCCTATCGATAGAGTCGAAGGCGGCAAGGATGTCTAGGAATACAATGATCTTTGGCCTCTGGTAGGCATGACGGTGCTCTAGCAGCTGTCGGAGGGTGAAGATTTGATCAATGCATCCACATCACATCTCGTTAAGAGTCGTGTTTCATTATGTTCGCTGTCAGTCGGACTAGACCGACGTGCGTCAAGAAGGCGTCGAGACTCTGAAGAGATCCAGGGTGTCACGGTGCGACGTTTCAGACCACAACTAACTAAGCCAGCAGAATGCACAGCATTCCTGATAAGCTACCAGTGCCGGTTAACGTCATCGGGTGGGGTTGGTACTAGCTTTGCACAAAGTGCGTTCTGCAAGACAGTGAGACAAGCTGGTTTGAACAGCTTATCACAGTCTAACCGTCGTTGTGTCGTTCGTTTGGAACACCCACCGAAGCACATGGACAGCTTATTGCATATTAATGCGTGGTCGGATTCGAGGGAAGTGTTCCATTACGATCGGCAGTCTTGAATGCTGCTCCAACATTTGTGGCTTATCGCAATGTGGTCGATCTGTGTCCATCTCTGACTCGAGGAGGGCGGGCGCCAAGTGGCATACTGGCAGTTGGAGTGTCTGAAGTTGGTACTGGCAAGGAACAGGCGGTGGTTGGAACACAAAGCCAGCAGCCGCTCCCCGTTTTCCGAGCGACAAGAATCTAGTCCGGAAGGACCTCCCAGGTGAAGCTCACTTGAAGTCAACCGGCCTACTCTAGCATTCATATCTCCTGCTAAAAACACGATATCAGCTCGGATCGCTTTACGCAATAGGTCATGTAGATTGTTGGCAAATTCATTTATGACTGCATCTGGGCTACAGTCTGTTGGAGCGTACTCAGATACGACAAACAAATTTTGTCTATCGTGTCGACGGCTGCTTACCTTGCACGAACCTCTGAGTCTCACTGCGCACAACCTAATGTCGACTGGGATCCAATCTAGGAGGGCGGCCTCAGCTCTCTCACTGAGAGCTAGACCGACGCCAGCAATACCGGAAGCCGCAGCCTCAGAGTCCCCAGACAGACGTAAGTGAAACTTCAAAGATTGGTTAGATGGGGACTTCAGTCGAATAATGGAGCTGGAGTCTTGAATTTGAGTTTCTCGGATGCAACACACATTGATGGCCAGGGTTTCGAGCTTACGAGCTAAACACGCCTGTTGTGCTATCCGCATCAGATTACGCACATTAAACGTGGCTAGTTTCAGAGGACATCGAGGGCGGAAAAAGGCTTCAGCTGGTGGAGGATTCGGTGAGACTTGAACAGCAGTCGAGGTAGGACAAGAGCAAACAGCAGCAGAATTTCCACCCGAGGCACTACTGTCCGTACGATCGTCTGAACTACCCGAGAGAGATGGAATAAAGCTGGGAGGGTAGAGGTGAGGTGGGGGGAGGCTGTGAGAACAAAAGGGTGTGTACGGTGTAGAAAGTCTTTCGATTGTTGAAGGTTTACGCTGCGAAATCATGAGAGCGAGAACGTTCATAGTTATCTGCGTTGTGGGCTATTCTCCTACTCGGTCGCCCAGTCCAAAGTAGGCCTTGTTCGAGGATACACTTTAGGCTTTGCGCAAGCAAGCGCGGACTGCAAGGCAGCAGTGATCTTACAGATGAGTCGGTGGCCGGTTTTCGGTTTATTCACCTATTCTTGAAAGCCTTGTCGGGCAAGAAAACTCGACAAGGGGCTATGGCCATATTTAGTGGTGGGCCACACTCGCCAAGTCACAGTGCTGTCCACAGTTATTTGTAGTGTTTTGTGCGAAGTACTCTGTCAAGAAGTAAACCTACGACATCCTCGGGCCCTACCCCTGATCGTCCGCGACCGTTAATTCGGAGGGACGAGGCCGACCTTATTCACGGTTAGCCGTGAGATGACGGCCGTTCCCTTATCCGTGACCCGAGGAGGCGCTCGATAGCATATAGCTCTGCTATCCCAAGTGGTCTCACATTACACTGAAGTTATTAACAATGTTCATTTATCACATTCGGCACATGAGGTTATAAATATCTATAAACTACAACTGAAGCTCGCCGTTTAGATATCAGTTGTTGCAAAAATGACAATAAAGTCCTGACTTAAACTTAAACGGTTTTTGGGAGAACAAGAGCTGATCTGGTAGGGTTTCAACTTTACCTCAGAATTGCTTGGGAAATGGACGAATTGACTAACGATGAACGATATTGGAATGAGTCTCTGTGCGATATTTCATTAAGGGGTCTAGATGCATCATCTTTTTTGATCAGTTCAGATATTTTGCGCACATGGGGGTCAATGGGAAATAATTTGTTAATGTTTGTATTGTGAAAATGATCCACAGCCACTGCTCGTGATTCTAACAGCTTACTACAGAGAAAGTTTTGAATTGTTGTTGTTGTTTTACTAAAGAGGTCTTCTCATATGCTTCAAAAATTTCTTCAACAACCGTTTGATGAAGTTTCTCGAAAATAACCTAATAAACTTTGTTTACTCATTAAACAGTTATTTGTGGTTTGCTGTGTGCAGTCTCTTCATTTCACTTTGCGAACAGTGGGGCTAATAAAAACCATACAAGTGAATTCAGAGGATTTTTACTATCAAGCTTGTGGTTTGTTTATCAATCTATCATGTGAAGAAGGGACACAAGCGAAGTAGGATGAACATTATTCCTGGTTGCCGGTTACTCACCAGAGCGCTGTGGCACAGGATGGTCATAGTCGTGCAATCTGATTTCTTCGTACCACATTTGAGTGATCTGCTCACCTACATTTGGGTAAGAACAGGGTAGAGAATATGACAGTACAGTTTTAAAACCCATGCAGATCGAAGGCAATTGAAAGGTTAATGCTGTATGAAGAGCTTCATCAGCTATTTACTCGTATGAGACGAACAACGATGGTAACAATGAGGTACACCGGTGGAACAGAATTTTGTGAAAAGTCAATATCAGAGAAGGGGAAAGCGGTCAATCAAAAGACTGCTGTGATGGATGTCCGCATACTCTTGAACATATTTCCCAAATCTCCGACTGCCGACTGCCGGGAATAAAATCATCGTAAGAGGAAAGCATGAAAATGTGAGTGTCAAGCTTTTGAGGTTACTATTACACCGTGCCGTAGGTCATATATTCGAACTTCATCATGGCTACCCATATTTTCCTTATGTGACATGACCGTCTCGTGATTAGTTGAGTCTTCCTCTCCAGAATACGTTGATACAATCATGTATTCAACAAAAAAAACAGTAAACGTGAAATAAAACCTTATTATGATAATGATGTGTTGCACCAACATTAGTAAATGAATCGAAACTTAATGACAACCCGAAAGATTGATGCTTGCGCTCCATAGGGCACTCCATGTGTTGTAAGGTACTACTCACAGTTGTGAGTAGTACGCAGAACGATGCGATTGGCCTTTTCTTTCAACGGTCAAAAATGAATATGATCCCCCAGAGGAAATTATTGTGTTCGAAGTGATACCTACGGACTGTTCCATTCATTATACTATGAGCTGCTGTGATTTTAAATGACATGCTCAAATTGTCCATACCCTACCTATGATTCGTAATAAACAACTCTCCTCGAGCCAGTATCGACCTTCTGGAATTATAATACAGGTTGGNAGGTTGGAAGCTGATTGCATTCATTCAAAATTAGATTTTTTAATCAATGATGCATCACTTTCCAACATATTCCGCCAATGCACAAAAGTGTAACGGAACCCTGCAACCACACCAAGATTGAAGAATTACGGGGAATTTGATTCCGTCGATGTATTATGTAATGATACCTGGTCGTAAGCATATAATCAGCTCACACAATAATGGTCTAATGCGATTAATCTGAAGAGACTCAGTCATGTGGAACTGTTTGTTCGGGAAAGGTTACGTTTCTTGATAGAGCTACCTGCCGCTAAAGGAAACAATATGGATTTAATACCAAATAGTAATTTCGCAGCATTTCCAAGTTTGACTGATTATTTTAAGTCAATAATCAGAAAAATAGATCGCGTAAAACAAGTATTTACCCGTGGAGTAGAAACAATAATATTTCAAAGGATGAACTAAACCCTGTATGGATAGGCATTACATTACGATCGTGAAACAAAAATTGTATTTTACTTTAATCCCAAAGCTTTTGCTCGCTGAAGAGTATAAGCTTCGTATTGAGAACGGCTGGACGAAACAATCCATTGTTGGGAATTAGAACAATGTGGTTTAGTGATGAAAAAAATTTTATCAAAATGATATAGCCCCCACAATTGCAATATTACCTAAGTAGGTAACCATACTCTGAACGGATATCCACAAGGTTCACAAAATATCTGGACACTTCAGTTTGATTGCAGTTCATCATACCTGAACACTGAACCTTTCCGGTAGATCCGCGAAAAGCCAGGTTCTCACCGTAGGTTTCTGCCTGGCTATGCTGTAAACATCCAGCTTTCACAAGGTTTTCAGCCCATGATTGTGCAGCTTCCGCCAGTGATGTGTCCAATTTAAGCGGCGGACAACCATGAATCTCACGAAATCTAGTTGTGAAGGAAAATGAAACTGGATTATTTTAGGAAAACCGTTTACAAATGCATCAGTTGCATCAAAATATTTGTGAACAAACAAAATTGTCAATGCTAGTTAAGAGGCGCAAACAAAAGTTCCAAAACGAAAGATAACACACTAATGATAACCATTACGGAGGTTCGATGTAACGTTTCTTTTTGTTATTCCTTTGAAGATAATGCAAACCGAAGGAATAAACTAACTCCATTATGCACGAAGAAGATTTGTTCTATAATGCCCTTTATTCCTGTGCTGGGAAACACAGGCGATCACCTCTCCAAAAACGTGAGATTGGACAGTTTCAAACCGTACAATAATTAATTGCAAACTTGTTTTCTCATTTAATTGCTACTGCTTTTGGATTTTTAGGTTAATTAGTTCGATACTTTAAGGTTTCCTGTCAACGTCTACCGGTCATCAATCATGTTTCACTTTCGGCTGTGACCAGAAAACTCACCAACCCACATTTATCTTGCTGTAGGAAGTTGTTCCGGAGAAATCCTTTTGCACACTAAATCCTGGCGATGAACAATATAATAAGTAAACTACGAAACAAAAATTATTCATTATTGTATTTGTGGAAAACGGCAAACTCTGATCTCATTTACGGTGAGGCGAGGTGAGATGTGCGGGACTCAACTGCAAAAGGTGTGGTTACGAATAGCATGATAAGGGATCTGTTTAGCATAGGTGGCCAAAATCAAAGTGATATAGCGAACCAAAGGGCAGTATAAGAAACAAAATGCGATTTGAGTGAAATGCGGTCGTTCTCGAAAGATGCGACCAATCTTGGGCGATTTCCCTCGCTCGTCACCGGTCATTGAAAGAACCAACTATGCACATTTAATATACCTGAATTATGAATTACCTCGTTTCGGTTTTGGTTAGCTCCTTGTATTTTGGTATCCATGGTCATTCGCGGTACAGAATGGTACAGGTTTAAAGGAAAAACCTCAACTAATGAACTCAGAAATTAATTCAATTAAATAAAAGGGTTACTTGAAAGAGAAAAATGTTACTCTAACGAACACTACCTTTGCCTGAACTGGAAAGAAAGGAAGATCAAAAACACAGCAAATAAAGGTGAGGTAAGCCATCGATGTGGCTCGGGTTGGGTGTATCACGTATATACGAATAAATTCACTTTGGAGAAAAAGGCATGCAAATGCATTTAGGAATAAAACTGGTGAGATAACCTCCATTAACTGGAGCATACATAGTGTATAATGACTTCGAAAGAACTTTATCATTTTTCTTGGATTACGTAAAGTTTGTCTGGATAAGGTGCGCGTTACTTTTAATAATATTCTTGGACACATTCACTGTTAATTTTGGATACCCTATCCACTCTATACGCTAGGCTTTATCTGATTGTATGTTATTGGCTGTTCCTTGTTTGTCAGAACCTGGAATCTAACTGAGTCAACGTACACACACAGGGACACAACGAGCGTTTAATACGAACAGAATAAAGGCCTGGTGTTTTAGAATGCATGGATTGATTTTGGTTTACTCAAAGCACCAACGTGGTTTGTGTGATTTAACCGTGATATATGAAGTCGTCAAATCATTTGGGCTGCTCACACAGGATGGTGAAACAATGTAAACTACAAGTGAATCAATGGTTCTAAAACAGTTATTTCACTTAGCCCATTCACAATATATCTATTTTCATAGCAATCCACCCCAAGTGAAGGCTGATATTATTTATGGCCAACCATGGTATGAGCTGGTTAGCACAGTGATAACACACACGCCTCCCATGCGATGGGTCCGGAGTTCAAATCCCGGACGGGACGGTGAATATTCACTACTGATGAACTTCAATAAGAGCGGAACTCTAGTCTAGTTCCTTCGAGTATATGTTTGAATCGATGAAGTGGGGACTGTACCTGAAGGTGAAGTCCTAAGGATACTCAGTTCAAAACCAACAAAACCATTAATTGTAAATTGGGCTGCGATTGAAAGCAAGATGTTTATTAAAAACATAGGTTGATATTTAAAAGGCAATATGACGGTGATGAATTTGCACTGCTGAAGAGACCAACTCAGGTAGAAACCACTGTACACTGCTTCATAGCTTTTCAGTTCAAGCCTCATTTGCTCCATACACGGCGAATTCCTTCTCTGGAAAAGCAAATTGTCTAACTTCCTACCCGAAATGCCCATATATGATGTGATTAGTTACTGAATATATATAGGCGCTTACTCTTTCGAGTAATTCGAGTTAACAGTCAGTCCATCACGTGGAGTAGCAAGGGTGAGTCTCACAATCACAAAGTGAAAACCAGATGGGCGAATATGCATGAAAAAACACAACTTGCTAATTCTATGATTGGGTTCTAAAAGAGCACTTTAGAGTGCAACGTAAAGCCGTTCGTTTCAGGAATATCTCGTCCCTAACATCTAATTTACAGTCACTAGCTCACCGTCCGGCTCTCTTCTTTATCACCACTCGATCGATACTACTTTGGATTTTGCTGAAGTGAGGATGCCGCTCCTTCCTCGTAGATTTCGCATAGAAGCGGCTAGCCACCCACTTCAAGTGAATATCTCCAGGTTTCACATTTCTAGCTTCCAATCCTCTTTTCCCCAAGAACAGCGAAAACGTGGAACTCTCACGCTTTCCGTATTGCCTGCAGCGCACAGCATCGTTGCACTTAAATGCCGAATTAACGAGCTGGTTCTAGCATGAATGTTCCTATCACAATCTGATTTCTGTCTTCTAGTTTGATTTACGTTAAATATAACTCTTCGGAAGAAAATCCAGCAAATCTTCCTGGTTACATGGGCTTCAATTTAAAAAACAAATATCAGACGATCCAGATATGAGAGGGAAAAGAGAGAAAGGCAAGTGAAAAAGACACAGGATTGAGCTTGATTCAGCCAAATCATGAAAAGGATTCAGGATTTGAGATAACAGATTATTAATGAAGATAACAGGGAGAATAGAAGAAGTAGCGGAGAACCTTGTGAGATACCGGAATTAACCGGTATTCCTCTCAAAACACGAATTAAATTGAGGCTGAACAGGCAAACACGGAGCTCAGTTTTCAAGTAATAGAATACGGAGAGAGTTCAACTGTGCTACATTTTGCAGCAAGCCCAATGGTGGAATGGTGTAGGTTATAGAGAAAAACTAACTGAAAACAATGTTTAGGATATCGAATTCGTGAGAATTTTGATGTTTGAACATTTCTTATTTCAATGCCTAACTCAACAGATAAGGTGATTGATCTACTAAGTCCCCCAGTTAAAATTGATAACAAGTTGGGGCTGTCTGATGATACGACACTACTAATATATGCAGTAACTGAAGAAGACAAATTCAATATTCGAACCGTGAGAAGTCTGGGGATGTAGAACATGCCACCACGGATACCTCGTTATGAAAGGGAATCTTTCAAAAACGGAAATATGTCATGAGCGGATAAGAGTGCACACAACGGAATCAAGGGAGCGGTCAAATTTAACACCACCGTTTCAGGATGGGAACTGTTTTGATACGAAACATAATCGCAAATGCCACAAATGCGAAAACGCGGACGCAGTACCGAATGGACTGTATGTGAGCGCTGGGTAGAGCAACCAGATAGTAAGAGCTAGAGGAACAAAACCCATAAACCGGTTTGTGTGTGAGAGAGAAACCGAGGGGAGAAATTGAAGTCCAGCGAGATTGTAAGCTTTGGTTTGCATCTAGGAATCGAACTGGTTTGTAATCGTGCTGGGTCAGCTTAGGCGAAGCACGAAAATGAAAACCATCACGCGACAACTAGTTATAATCATATAGTAATGGAGTTTTTTTCGCTTGAAACTGGGCCACGAAAGAAAATGAAACTGAAGGACGGACGAAATCGGAAGGATTCACAGTAATAATGATTTAAAAATAAAAAGGTGGCAATCTAATGTCTGAAGATGCAAGGAACAGCCTTTAACAGACGGAAGAATATTTTTGTTGTGAACTGTTAATATGGCGAACTGAATCAGAAGCATAAAATTAAGCACGTAAGACACACGGCACATATTTTTTAGTGAAGAAGTGAACAATCGGGCTGACAAGAGTGAAAATAGATCGCCTTCGTTTGTTGGTAAACTAAAGGGGTATCCAAAGAAACACTTGTACACAATCGCAGTCGGTTAAGAATGAACTTTTCCTGCGGTGTGAGCACACACCCCACCGCTCGTAGTTCGACGTTTACCGGGGTGTTCCATTGCTAAGTTGAAATAATTCTCAAACAATATATAGCTACATGAATTTGATTGTTTTCATGAATTACCAACCAGATACATCACAACGGTTTGATTCGTCCTAGTGTCCAGTCAAGGAAACCCAACTCAATGAAAAATGTACATATATTCATTCAGATCACTTACTCATTGTGTGATTTCAGGCATTCCTGATTAAACTTTGAGTCCATTATGTGGCGTCCGAACCGCGTATGAGAATACGAAAAAATGAGCACAGCCTGCTCACTGCCTCCCACTGTGTTTCTCGTCCGAAAACTGATCCCAACTGCGGTTGTCACGTGCATGTCACTGCCCCCACCATCCTACAGCAACCAATCAGGCTTTGCAGTGGTGGATGCATAAACATGCCAGATTGAATGAGATTGGTATTCTTCGTTCAGGCATGCTCAAGTCAAACGGTTGGAATTTTCGATCATCTGCTGTGAATGTCACGTGTGCCGACCGGCCACTTCGGAACTCATTTTGATCTTAGAAGCAGGGTCCATTCATACTTGCTATCGGAAAATAATTGTATTTGAATAAGCTGGAACCGAAGCAACCGTTTGAAAAGGCAATAAATTGTCACGTGACTTCTTGTTCACGAGATGGCTTGGTATCCAACAGAAACAAAATGAGTATAGGTCACATGATAAACAGCAGGATGTCGTCCTGACCACTTGTTGCTGTCTCTATAGTGAAACGGACTCAGTAATAATAAACTCACTGGACAGATTATTATTATTTGTTTGCTGGGAATGAACCTCTCACGTTACCACAGCGATGCAATAAAACAAAGTAGTTGATCGTCACACTGACAATAGAGGATTAACTTTCAGAACCAGGGGAAGCATACCATTCGTTAGATTACATCATCCAGTGACATTAAAATCGATTTCACATCTACTCCCAAAAATCAATATATTCTTCAAGTGCCATCAGACATGGTAGAATTATTCAACAGAGCAGCTGTACCTACGATTTGCTGGTTTCCCTCTTCAGCGACACCAATAGGCACTTCACAACTGCATATGTTGAGTCTTCACTTTGTGTTTTGGCAGAACAACGCGTGTCTTCAAATTGATATTTGTTCATTCAGGGTGTATATGAAATTAGTAAATGCAGGATTTACATTTGAATTTACAGACGGAAGCCGAACGTGATAGTCATTTCACACTACGTGACGTCCCAGTTTGGGGACCAGTATAAGCTTACTTGGGTTGGCTTTGCTCTTTGCTTTTTGTTCGTCATCGATTTTTAGTGTCCATTCGCTGTGACAGTTGCACACTCTTTT